GAAATAATAACATCAAATGATTTATTAATTAGTTAAAGAGAAAGAATAGATAGAGATGATTAATAAATTTTAATAATTTATTAATTAATATAATAATACACTATGAAAATTTATTTTTATTTTTTAAAATTAACTTGACTAAATTTATATGCTTAGTTTTTTTTATATCTACCATTCAAACTTTCATTTTTATGCCCATCAAACGAATATTACAAAATGGAATGGAAAAGGTAGAAATTGCAGAAGCTAATGTTAGGTCAGTCCTCCATGTGCTGTAAGCCTGTAACTGGGAGGAAGGATGAGATGGACCACCACGTTGCTCATATCCCACACCAAATGTTTTGTCACTAAACCAACAACATGGCCCCTGCCTCGCTCAGAGATTTTTAGAACCGATGAATCACTCTCATCATCTTCTTCCTCTGTGCCACAGCTGCCAAGCCATACGGCCCTGAGGATTCCATAATGAGTGATACAATTTGGGTAATAAGAACAAACAAAATTAATAAGAACTATTTTTGTATAGATATAATTCTTGGTGAATAAGATATCAAAATTATTCAAATTTGAATTAGAGTAGCTAATGAGAAAATATTCTATTCTATATTAATTTCCAATATGTAGATGTAGTTTTTAATTTCATCTTAAGTATATAGTACAAACAAAAATTAATAAAAACTATTTTAGAGTTTTTTCTGTCCCTCCAAACTTCTTTTATTATAATATAGACGCACATTTACTATCATTAACAACGAAGGCATGGTGTAGTTAGGGTTAATTTAGTTAATTTGATTTTATCAATATTTATACCTTTTCCCCTAAAACATGTAGTTAGTGTATTTAAAAACATCTATCTATGGTTTGATTTTAAATTGTTAATTAATAATATCAATTATTTCATGAACTATCAACTCTTTCTAACAAATAAACCCAACAAAATCTATTTTGATTATAGTAAGGATCTACTTAAGTACAAGTCTTACATATCATATTTATATAAAATTTTAATTATTCATTTCACAACTCTCAATAATTGAAATTTATTCACATATATTAAAAATAATTATTTTTTCATTTAAAAAATTATGATAAATCTCAACTATTAAAAGTTAAAAAGTAAAAAAATAAATGATTGAGATTTTATATAAATGCGGTAAGTAAAATTTGTGTTTAGTAAATCTCTCTTCTTTCGGTTAACATCTATATATTTTTTTTTTCTTTTTGAGAATGGTGAGTAATTTCCATAAATTCTCAAAGGATATTTACAATATATTCATGACTATTATTTACAATAATATTCAATCAAAATTGAAGCTTAAGAAACTCAATGATATAAGTACTAATTAATTACTCTAGGTCCACGATATCTCGTACAGTTGCAACAAATGCCACATTGAACATGCGTTCTTATCCCTGCATTTACTTCTCTTCAACCATCTCCATTCCTCTGTACCTATAAGGATATGTCCAAGGTTCTTAACCTCGGACATACCGACGCAAGCCCTTCATAACCGAGGTAAAGTTAAATTCAACACTTCCTGGTCAAATGGCTGCATGATAAATACAGTGGACACGCCCACACCAGATTTACCACATACAATTTCCCGGTCTCGAAATTATCGCCTGAAAAGACACGTCACACTCCAATTATCTTGTTAAGCAAGCCACGTGGACACCTTACCAAGGCCTGTAAATACTCCCCAAGGGCCACCTCAGAAAGGTAATTGAAATCGACCTAAAGCTCCTCTTTAATTATTCCAAAAAGGTAGATCCGATTATTGTTGACTTAAGCATCGGAGTGTCTACCCTAAGGACCCACTTCAGGGTTTTGCAGGTTCATCCAAAGTGAAGACATGGATTGAAAAAGGGCTTCTGATTTGGTGCAATTACATTGGCGCTGTTTGTGGGAATCTGAACTAAAGGCTCTTTGGTTGCTCTCTGGTTGCTTTCTCATCATGGTCAACACTTGATCTGTCCGAGCTGGAAATCAAGCTCAACCTCTTGGACAAGGTCAAAGTCAACCCCCCAACAACCTTCCACTTCACCTCCCACCTCCGATCCCGAATCTATTCCCTCTTGTTGACTGAGCAGAAGGCGGAGATGAAAACCAACCCCACAACTCAGCTCACAACTCAACTTCCACTGCTAATCAAGACGTAGTTACAACTCAGCTTGCTGCCATGCAACAACAATTTGGTGTCTTCCAGTTAGTTTTGGCTCAGCTTCTAGCTCAGAATAATCTTGGAGATCCCCTCATCAATCTACTCAACCCTACTCAACAACCCCCTGTTCAATAGCAAGATCCTCAACCAGTTCAGCATGTTCCTGCTCTCAGTGAGTCTCAGGTTCAGTCTCGTGCAGCCCCAGTTCCACACCCTCTACCTGATGATGTCACACGACGACTGGGCGGCTTAGAAAAACTGGTAGCCGAGCAGCGAGGTGCCCCACCTCCACATCATAACACAGATTCCATACCTCATCCTTTGAACACTAACATTACATTGGAACCTTACCCTGTTGGCTTCAAGATACCTCATCTTGACACATATGATGGGATGAAGGATCCAGATGATCACCTCCATGCCTTCTACTCCTGTATGCAAGCTCAGAACGCTTCTGATGCATTGATGTGAAAAATCTTTCCCTCCACTCTCCGTGGCAATGCTTGAACCTGGTATTATAGTTTGCCCCCGAGATCTATAAACTCCTATTCAAAAATGGCATATGCTTTTGCCACAAAGTTTTCTAGTAGAAGGTTGATTAGGAAAACCACTTCTGAACTGATGTGAGTCAAACAGAGGGAAGGAGAATATTTCACGAATTACATGAGCCGGTTCAACGATGCAGTCCTCGAAGTCAGCTCATTCAACCAACCCGTGGGAATTCCGATTGTAATTCAAGGTCTCCAGCATGGGAGATTCAGAGATAGCTTAATCAAGCATCCTGTTGCTACTTTTAATGAAGTCAATGACAGATCGTTGAAATTCATAACTGTTGAGGAATATGCCCTATCACAGAAACTAGTTCTTCCCAAGAAACTAGTTCTTCCCAAGAAACTAGTTCTTCCCAAGAAACTAGTTCTTCCCAAGAAACTAGTTCTTCCCAAGAACCAAGACCCAGATTGGAGAGATGAAGGTCAGAGTAGAAAACAGATGAAGATAGTGTAGAACCGAGGTCTGATGATGACCTCCACACCGAAATTCGAAAAGCCGAACTTGATACCACCCTAGCAAATTACCACTAAAGCACCAGTTACATTGACCCCTTTCAATCTGCCGAGGTCGCAGATATTCATGCAGATCGAGAATAGGATGGACTTGAGGCAACCAGGACCAATGAGAAGTTCCGCTGCTACACGTGATCATACTAGATACTATGATTTTCATCAAGATCATGGTCATACAACGGAGCAATGTAATAGTCTGAGGTCCAAGCTGGAAAGTCTAGTTCAGAAGGGAATGCTGAATCAATACATCCAGAGATCCAAGCAACCGAAGTTTGTCAGAGAACATGGGCCACAACCGCAGGGATCTTGTAACGCAGGAAATAGATAGGGAGTGGGATATCAACAAGCCCCACCATCGCTTCCGCCAGCGGCTAGAATTATACACATGATTACCGGATGATTGGAAGCAAGGGATTTGAGCTCCAAGCAGAGAAAATTGTATGTTAGGGAGGTGAAGCATCAAAACCAAGCCCAGAAATGAAAGTTTGATGACGTTGACTGGAAAAATCAACCAATCACTTTCACATCTGCTGATTTCGATACAATTGTCACACCTCATAACAATCCCCTGGTCACTTCCGTTATGATTAACAACTGTGAAGTACAACGTGTCCTTGTTGACACAGGGAGTGCACCAGACATTATGTACTTTCACTGTTTTGAGAGTCTTGGGCTGGATCTAGCTTTGTTACAGAGGTACGATGGTCCCATCTATGGATTCAATAACCAACATGTTCAGGTAGAAGGAGTCCTCACTCTCAACATTGCTTTTGGGAGTCGCCGAACTTATGTTACCCCTTCAGTTCGGTTTCTAGTTGTGAAAATGACATCCTCTTTCAATGTTGTTATTGGACGACCCACGTTAACAGAGATCTGAGCTGTGGTCTCTCAATCTCACCTCTGCATGAAGTTCCCAACTCCCATGGGGATAGCAACATTATGAGGTAACCAAGAGGTGGCTAGACATTGCTATATTACCTTGGTTACAAGGCCTCAAAAAGGCAAAGATCAGACATTAAAAACCATTCCCCAACCAGTTCATGATAATCAACAGGTAATGGGGTTGAGATAATAGACAACCGACTAGAGGATGAATCTAGAGCTACCCTAGTTAAGGATGTAAAGGAAGTGCAAATTGATGACAGAGATTGCAGCAGGAAAACACAAATTGGAACTCGATTGAACCCAAAGGAAAGAGAAGAGCTAATAGCTTTCCTCCGAGCTAACAACGATGTCTTCGCTTGGACCTCAGCAGACATGCTAGGAATTCCAACCTTAGTTTCTCAACACAAGCTTAGCACTAATCCATTGAAGAAACCAATAGCCCACAAGCGACGTCTCTTTGGGGGGGGGGCGAGGAGAGGCTTCAGGTTATAAAGGAAGAAGTTGAGAAACTCCTGCAAGCTGGTTTCGTCAGAAGAGTTGACTGCTGTGAATGGGTGGCTAACCCGGTGTTGGTAAAAAAGGCAAATGGTAAATGGCGAATGTGCATTGACTACACAAATCTCAACCAAGCTTGTCCCAAGGACCGTTATCCGATGCCAAGCATTGACAAACTGGTTGAAACGGCTTCTAGAAATGAGAGATTAAGTCTTTTGGATGCATATTCTGGTTAGCACCAGGTGCCGATGGCTCAAGAGGATGAAGAGAAAATCTCGTTCTATGCTGGTGGGGAAATTTATTGCTATGTCATGATGCCATTTGGCTTAAAGAACGTAGGTGCCACTTACCAAAAAATGGTGACCATTGTCTTCCGAGCGCAGATCGGCAAGAATCTAGAAGTTTATGTCAATGACATCGTGGTGAAGAGCTTAAAGGCAGAGGATCATCTAGCCGACCTTGATGAAACATTCAATAACCTCAGGAAGAACATAATATGGTTGAATCCAGCTAAGTGCATTTGCAACGTAGAATCTGGGAAATTTTTAGGATTCATGGTTTCTCGAAGGGGGATTGAGGTTAACCCGGAAAAGATCAAAGCAATAGCTGAGATGGAACCATCGAAGTCGGTGAAAGATATACAGAGATTAACAGGAAGGGTGGCAGCTCTTTATAGATTCATTTCAAAGTTAACAGATAAGTACCTGCCATTCTTCAAGATCATGAGGTTAGCAACGTAAAAGGATGAATCTGGTAAACCGAAGAAATTTGAATGGAACCAAGAATGCCAAGCTGCATTCGATGAGCTGAAGTATTATCTTAGCTCCCCACCTATACTGACAAAGGCTATGGATGGAGAAATTCTCTATTTGTACTTCAGTATTTCTGATGAAGCAATCAGTTCAGTGCTGATGAGAGAAGAAACCAAACAGCAGAAACCAATCTATTATATCAGCAGCGTGCTGCACGACGCAGAATTGAGGTATCCTATTACTGAGAAAGCAACGTTAGCAGTTGTCACTTCGACCAGAAAGCTAAGGCCATATTTCCAATCACATCCGATCATAATCCTCACAGACCAACCCCTTTGACAGATCCTGCAGAAGCCAAAGTGCTTCGGAAGGTTAATTAAGTAGGCAGTAAAACTGGGGGAATTCGAGATAACATTTCAGCAGAGGTCTGTGATCCGAGCTCAAGCACTGACGGATTTCATCGTGGAATGCACCCCATGTCCCTCAATCCCTAACCTCGAGCCAAGTGATTGGACCTTGTATGTTGATGGAGCATCTGGTAGCAAGGGTTCAGGAGCTGGTGCTTTCTTAATTGGCCCAGATGGATACTAAAGTGAGCATGCTCTAAAATTTAACTTCTATGCAACAAACAACATGGCTAAGTATGAAGCTCTACTACTTGGTTTGCAACTAGCATTGGAGCTGAAAGTCATGGCGACACAAGTATACAACGACTCACAGCTTGTGGTTAATCAAGTCAACTCAATCTGCGGAGTTGTTGATCTTGTGATGACGAAGTATGTAGCCCTAGTGGCCGAGCTAAAGTGCAAAATTTAAAAATTTTGTCTAAACAAAATTCCCCGAACTGAGAATGAGAATGAACAAGCAAATTCACTTTCTAAGTTTGCTTCTGATAGCTCTTTAAGCTCCAGATCAATTTTTGTGGAAGTTTTAGATGAACCAAGCTTCATGAAGCCACGAATGATGGAAATCAGCACAGACCCGGATACACCGAGCTAGACAGATCCAATTATCTCCTTTTTACAAGACGGGTCAGTACTTGAAGACAAGCAAGAGGCAACGAGGTTGAGGAAGAAAGCGTCTCGATATACACTCGTTGATGGGGTTCTCTATAAGAGATCTTTCTCACTCCCTCTCCTACGATGCTTAAATCCTTATGAAGCTAAGTACACACTTTGGGAGGTGCATGAAGGTGTCTATGGAAGCCACATCGGTGCGAGAACCCTTGCCCACAAAGTCCTCAGGCAAGGATATTACTGGCCAAATATGTATAAAGATGCTAATCACTTTGTTCAGAGATGTCCAAAGTGCCAATTCTTCACACATTTAACTCACCAACCGGCAGAAGAGCTCACCAACTTGGTAGCACCGTGGCCATTTGCTCAGTGGGGACTTGATCTTTTGGGCCCATTCATGAAAGGGGTTGGAGGTATAACCCATCTGATTGTGGGTGTTGACTATTTTACAAAATGGGTTAAAGCTCAGCCATTATCCAGTCTTACTTCCAGAAAGGTTGAAGACCTTGTTTTCGGTTCAATTAGCTGCAAATATGGAATCCCAAATCAGATCATAGCTGATAACGGTACTCAGTTTAACTGCTCTTCATTCAGAGAATTCTGCTCCAGTTATGGAATCAAACTACAATTTACCTCTGTACACCATCGGGAATCCAATGGTATGGTCAAATCTGTCAATAAAGCTATCTTGGAGGGAATAAAGCCAAGGTTGGAGCAACACAAGGCTAGGTGGGCAGACGAGCTTAACAACGTCCTATGGGCATATAGAACAACGAGCCAAACTGCCACAGGTACCATTTCCAACCCAAGTTAATTTCATTCTATTTTACTTCCTCACCTGCTACTTTACCCTAGAACAAATATGCACAACACATAAAGCATATACTAAAAAATTTAACTTAATAAAATAGGTGAAACACTCTATCACCTGACCTTTGGTACCGAAGCAGTCATTCCTATTGAAATAGGAGTCCCAAGTTTTAGGGTAACCCATTTCGATGAAGGACGAAATGGACAACTGCTTCGAGAGAACCTTGATCTGCTTGCCGAAGTCAGAGAAGAAGCGCGACTTCGAACTCTAGTATACAAGCAAAAATTGGCCAACTTCTACAACAAACGACTCCGCCCTTGAACATTCAAAGTAGGTGAACTTGTTCTAAAAAAGGTTGGCCTAACAAAGTTTGAAACTCGTTTTGGCAAATTGGCCTTGAATTGGGAAGGCCTTTACACAGTGGCCGAAGTGCCACATCTTGGTGCCTATATCCTCCAAGACGTTGAAGGGAAGCAAATTCCTAGAGTCTGGAATGTCAATAACTTAAAGAAATTTTACCCTTAATAAATTTCTTTCAAGTGATCTTCGTCTTATTCTTCTTTATAATTATTACTTCTTCATTTCTAAGATTCATTTCATCTATTATCCTGTATATTCAAGGTCAATCTATCTGGAATCTATTCCTTGGACTGCACTTTTATTAATGAATCTCACTTCACATCTGAAGTGATTTCTTCTTTTCAGCTCATGTCAGAAGTTATTTACTTCTTTTCAGTTCATATCCGAAGTGATTTACTTTATCTAAATCTTTACGTTAATAAAAATAATTAAAAACACAAAATAAATAACCAAACTAATTAAAAATTTTTTTCCTCAAATTAATCAAAAAATGTGTACACTAATCATTGTTCAAATCCTAAATACATAAATCAACAAAATAAAAAATCCCTAAACTATTCCGTTGGAGGAGGTGGTTGGGGTGGCTCCTGCTCTGTTGGAAGAGGTGGCTACTCTTCTTCAGAGGGAACTGGATGCACCTCCACGGGAAGAGATGGTTAACTTTCCTCAACTTCAGCCCCTTCTGCTTCTCCTTCCTCTTCCTCCACTGCTATGAACTCGAAGTCGAAGTTAGGAGGAAAAACGGCGTGTCCTTCTTAATCATGATCCCACCTCAGCTTCACCTGAGGTTGAAAATCTGCTAACATGCTTTTGCCATTCTCCTCCACCCCTTCCTCTTGTTCGCCGAAGGTGATCTTGATAATATCCACTTCGGGATACTCAGTTTTAACCTTCTTTCTGCAATTAGTGAAGGCGAGGATTGTAGTCAGCAGCCGATAGAGATTGACAATGTTGTTAAATGAGTTAGAGTTGATAAAGTTGCAAATATGCTCCTCCATCTTGTTGTGGACCAGCAGTTGGACATTCTTTTTGAGTTCCACCTCGAATTCTCTCATCCTTCTTATTTCCTCCTCTTATGCTTCATTCTCTTCTTTGCAAATTCTCCCTTTCTTCTCTTCAAATGAGAGAATTGTCTTCAGTGTATCTCTCTCCTCTTGTAAGCTTGTCACTGTTGGTACCACGATATCCAGTTCCCTCTTCATTTCCCCGTTCTTCTTCAACAGCTCATCCCTTTCCTTCTGCAGGTTGTTACGCTCCTTCACTAGCTCCATGAATTCTTGGGCTAACGCGTTAACCCACACATCAGCACAAATCAATCAAAAAATAAAATAAAATAAAAACAAACAACAAACGCAGCATGCAACCGTTATAATCACTAAGCTTACCTCCAGAGCATGCCTCACAACTGAGGTCCCTCCATGTACCAAGGCTTCCTCCCTCGCTTTACGGCGATCCACCTCAGGCACATAGGCGTCGATGAAATTCTTCACTGCGGAGAATTTTTTGCTCCCAAAAATGCTGCTCTGGAGAAAAGGCGTGGGAACAAACGCTTTACCTTTGCCAGGGGCAGGGACCTCGGTCTCTCTAAGGTCCGGATCAAGCTCAACAGGCGCAAGCCGAGGTACGAATTCCACTACCTCGTCCCCCCTGACCTCATCCTCCACTCTCCTCTTTTTCTTCTGAGCTTGATCCACTTCATCCCTCTTCCTTTTAGACCTCAGCTCCACCTCCTCTGCAGCTCGGGCTTCTGTACTTGACATCTGCCCTTTCCCCACGTTACCATCTCCTTTCCCAATTGCAGCCTTCTCCAAAGTCTTGGACTTTTTCCTCGGCTTCTTGAGAATAGCCATCCCACCAATAACACCAAGAAATTTGTCCATTTCAGCTGCAAAACAACAATTCCGTTAAAATCCACAAATCAGAACTAAACTTTTACACACATCACACAAGATACCAACACACCTTCGCTCATTGAGCTCGGCCCATAAAGCTCAGCTACTTTTATAACATCCGAGCTGGTGAGAAACATAATGTCTATTATGTCACCCTCCTTTCTCACCAGCTTCTCTACTTCTTCCTCCTCATCACTATTTAAACTATACTTATTCTGGTTGACCTTTTTAGCCTTCTAGGTAGACAAAAACTCTACTTCCCCATCTCCCCTCTCCCACTCGGTGTCATCAACAAAGAAAATTTTTTCCTTCCATCCCTTAATGGAGGAAGGCCCTGCACTAAATAGGTTTCTCTTTTCTTTGTTGAACGTCCGAGGTGTAAAGTAGTACCACCCCTTCTCCTTCCTACTCCTAGCCTTCAATACAAAAAAGTGCTTAAACATATTTACTATGAGCACCCTAACCCCTTTAGCCCGGCAATATACTATAAACCCAATTATCACTCTCACTACATTAGGAGATAATTGGGTCAAACCTACACTATACTCCAACAACAGCCACACCAACAAATCAAGCAAAGGAAACATAAGCCCTGCTGCCAAATAATGGGCATACACTGGCATCCAGTGATCCTGGGGTGCAGAGCATGCCCTTTCTTTCACTCCAGCAGGCCTAATTAACACTCTAGAAGAGATCTCGTAGGTCTCTACGAGATAACTCAGGCTATCCCTACTCCTGAACTCAGGCTATCCCTACTCCTGAGCTCAGACTCATACCCCTTTACCACAGACACAATGTCTGCCCCACTATCGTAAAACTTATCACTCCTATCTCCCACTTCCAATATATTGACAAGCACCTCTTCTGCCCCAACCTCCACAACTTCATTTCTACCTACCCCCCCCCTCTGTACGCTCAGACCCAGACGACTCACCCTCAACACTTACATCACTGTACTCTAGCATCCTTACTTCCTCGCTCCCCCCAATGCTCAATGTTTCCTCAAAAGACATCTCCTCAGTCTCGTAACTTTCACTACACGGAGTAGGGGGAGGGATGTAGTCAAGATCTTCAAAAAAACTCTAACTCACGCTCAATATCACTCTCACTCCTAACCCTAACCTCTTTAAGAGGGCTTAAATCTAAATCAGAAAGGGTGAGAGGAGAATAAAATTCGCCACTAAAACTTGAATCACAAAAGTTCATAAGTTACCTGATTTCAATAGTGCAGAACGAGTTTTGAATTCAAAAATGTGTCACACAAGCCACTCACACAAACACTGTAGCGATTTTGGCAGCACTTCGGTAGCAAATACGGAGAAAGTAAAACTCTTTTTACAGAAGTATAGCTATATACCAAAGGAAATATACGCCTCAACGGCTCTGATTAATTTCATCTGACGGTCACAGTTACACCGTTTCGAATTCGACGGTTAATCCCTAATGAAAATCTCTTGAATTCAAAGGTTCGTTTTCCATCCCATTCGCCTAACTATGGTTGTTACTTTTTTACAACCCGTATTTATTATGCACATCTTTCGACAGACAGTTGTCACGCCACGCATTAACTCTACATCAGACTTTTTTAACGGGCCCCACTAAGCCCAGTTCAGTAATTCCGTTTCCTTTCATAATAAAATTTTTCAACTTTACAAGTGTTTTACCTCGGCTCCGGCCGCAATGACTACGGTCATCACTTTTTACCTCAGCTCCGGCCGCAATGACTATGGTAATCACTTTTTACCTCGGCTCCGGCCCCAATGATTGCAGTCATCACTTGTTACCTCGGCTCCGGCCGCAATGACTACGGTCATCACTTTTTACCTTGGCTCCGGCCACAATGACTACGATCATCACTTATTTCTTCAGCTCCGGCCACAATGACTTCGATCACACTTGTTACTTCGCTCCGGCCATAGTGACTTCGCGTCACATATTTTACCTCGGCTCTGGCCATTGTAACCCCGCGTCATATATCTTACCTCGGCTCCGGCCATTGTGAACCCGTGTCACCTCTTCTGCTTTGGCCATAGTGACTCCACGTCACATATTTTGCCTCGGCTCCGGCCATTGTGACCCCTCGTCACATATCTTACCTCAGCTCCGGCCATTGTGACCCCATGTCACATATTCTGCTTCGGCTCCAGCTATAGTGACCCCGTGTCACACATGTTACTTTGACTCTGGCCATGGTAACCTCGTACCACATTTTTTACTCTAGTAACTCAACTATAATATTTTGTCATTCCTCTTTTCACCTGATTCTACACTACTCCTATCACCTTACACAATATCATTCACAAGTGAATGACTTCAAGGGGGGAATAATGTAAGGATATGTCCGAGGTTTCTAACCTCGGACGTACTGATGCAAGCCCTTAATAACCGAGGTAAAGTTAAATTCAACACTTCTCGGTCAAATGGCTGCATGATAAATACAGTGGACACGCGCACACCGAATTTACCACATACAATTTTCCGGTCTTGAAATTATCGCCTAAAAGGACACGTCAGACTCCAATTATCTTGTTAAGCATGCCACGTGGATACCTTACTAAGACCTATAAATACCCTCCAGGGGCCACCTTAGAAAGGTAATTGAAACCGACCTAAAGCTCCTCTTTAATTATTCCAAAAAGGTAGATCCGATTATTGCTAACTTAAGCATCGAAGTGTCTATCCCGAGAACCCATCTCAGAGCTTTGTAGGTTCATCCAAAGTGAAGACACGGACTGAAAAAGGGCTTCTAATTTAGTGCAATTACAGTACCCATCCTCTTAGACCTTGTATTAATTTCAAGTACCATCAATACATTATTCCAAACCTGTCTCTAGAACTCGAATAATATCAATGATGACCACTCAGCAAATTAATTTTGATCAACCAACAAACCGAGTGCGTATTCATTTCTTCCTTAAATGAGCTGTCTGAGTTGGCAAATTAATTTTGATCAAACCAACTAATAGAGTGCAAATTCATTTCTTCCTTAAATGAGTTGTCTGAGTAGGCAAATTAATTTTGATCAAACCAACCAACAGAGTGCAAATTCATTTCTTCCTTAAATAAGATGGGGCTAGAGTGAAACTTAGTTAAATAAATTACTGTTAAATCATAATTTTACTCCTATTTAATGTGTTATGATTAAAAAAAAATTTATATAATGCCTTTGCTCTGGTTAAGATTATATACTAATGTCCATGCCTGCCTATTGAGTGAACACGTCCATTATAAAAAATAGCCATGTTTCAAGCTTCTTGAGAAACTATCTAATTTTATAAACATAATATTTTTATATTACAAAAATATATGTTAAATCTTTTAGACAGCTGTAGACTAATTTAAAAACAAAAGGAAGATTAACCATGAAATCTGTAAATTGCACTGTTATATCAAATGATATTGTAACAATTCTAGTACTTAAGAATGTACTCATATTTAAATTGACTTTTAAATTCAAGGAGTAGATGCTTTTCATTGACTACAAATTACCAAAAAATAAAAAGAAAAAAAAAAAACCTACAGTCTTACCCCGCCTTTTGCAAATTTTTTTTTTATTTGATGAGAAAACACACCACCTCATATGGCTTTTCTATTATTATTAGTACTATTCTTTTTTTTTTTTCTTTTTGTTTATGAAATATGGGAAAATCAGATAAAATTATACTTAAAATGGTTCACGTGGATGGGTTGGGCTTTGGGATAACATCACTTGCAAATTTGAGGTCAATTAATGGCTTGATGATGACAGTGATTCGGGTTTGTATTCAAATCGGGTTTTGTAGTAGTAGTGAGCAGTTGGGTGTGAATGAGATGTCTCTTATTTTTTGGTTCACTCAATAATAGAAAATGTATATTTAGAGTAAATTAAGAACCAATTCAACATTATTCATCAGTAGGAAAAGAAAGAATATAAAATTAATGGGCAAATTATCTATTTTATGACCTTCTAGAGTCATATATTATTATCTTACCTTTCAGACCAATTTAGAAGTATAAAATGACAATATATACCCTTAAAAAGAAGAAGCACACTCTTTAGAATGAGAGAAAAAATCCTCAATTATTCATTATCTTTAAATACTAACTAAATATTTATTTTTTAATCAATTTAAAAACTAGATTGAAAAAAAAAATAATAATAAAAGATGAAACTAAAGTAAACATATTATCTTATACTTATGTGGACATATTTGTAATAATAAATGAGAATGTTAGGTGGCTAAATTATTTCTGTTTAGTTTTTACTCAGATGAATGTCAAGATAGAAAATTATATATATATATTATTATTATTATTATCAATACATAGGATGATTTTTCCCTTAAAAAAAATGGAAAAGAAAAAGTTATAAAAAAAGAGGAACCAAAGACCAGAAAAGGGTAGGGATCAGCATCCCTTTGTCACATGCTTCGTGGATCAAAGTCACAGAAAAACAAAATGAAACCACTGTCACCAAAGCGATTCTTAAGTAACCCAATTTAACAACACCAAACAGAAGCTATAGAAAAGGAGGCTTCGTTCTAAAATAGAAAGGAAATAATTTCAACATTTAAGAATGAAAATGTCACATGATATTAACAATAGGTTTCTACAAAAATGGCGAGTGCCAGGGTTCGGGCGAGAGACGTGGTGACCAGGGATGACGGTAATCTCCGGCGGCAGCAATTCAGAGATGTGCACAGGCGGCGAGTGCCAGGCTTCGACAGTCGTTCTCTTGGGATGGTAACAACGTTTTTCTTTTAAAACTTTCCAGAAAAGTTGACAACAAAGGATTTGTGGCATAGGTTTCAGATGTATGGTAAGGTGGTTGATGTTTATGTTCCGGAGAAGAGAGATAGGAGAGGAAGACGCTTTGGTTATGCAAGATTGGCTGGTATACAGAATGCAAATAGGATGGAGAAACAGTTGAATGAGATCTGGATTGGAACTTATAAGCTGAGGGTGAAAGTTGCAGATAAATTACAGAGAAAGAATGCTGGAGAGAGGAAAGAAGTGGTGGCAGAGAAAACAGAGACTGCAGGACGGGGTTTGTATAGAATGGTACAGCCAGGCCAATCCTATGCACAGGCAGTAGCAGGACCAGTTTTGCTAAACGCAGGGAATATGGCAGAGCGAGTCAAAGAGAAAGACGATCTGCAACAGAAGATTGTGCGGAGTAGATCAGAGTTTGGAACTCAATATCCTGGGAAAGAAGAGATTGCCTCATGCGAGCCGAACAACTAGGAAGCACAGGAAACTAATAAAGGTTTTTTTCCTAAGGAGGATGAGTATGCATGGCTTGATGGCAGTATGGTGGCAACGGTGAAATCAGTAGCCGGTATAACTCCCATCTAGGAGCAGTTGTTAGATGTCGATGGTGGTTTGATTACAATATCTCCACTTGGGGGTCGACGAGTACTACTGTTAGAAAGAGTGAAAGGGTATTTAGAGGAGTTTATAAAAGATAATATGGATTTAATTGCTCTGTGGTTTGAAACACTGCAACCATGGGTACAATCTTCTCGTATATGCAGTAGAATTGTTTGGTTGCGTATAACAGGGGTACCCTTGAAGGGATGGAGCGAGAGATGTTTTGTTGAAATAGCAAGCACAATGGGTGAGGTGCTTTTACTCCATGAAGATACGAGCAAGAAAACCTTTTTGTGTGATGGTCGAGTCTTGATCCTTAGCTCAGACATGAACAAAATTGCAACAAGTATTAGTTTGATGGTTGACGGCCAATTGTTCGAGTTACAGGTGACGCAGGAAGAATGGAGAGTCGATCCTGACTGGTGGTTGTCCGACAACGACCGGCAAAGTGAGACAAGGACAGAATCGGGATTTCTTTCTGAGCAGGACTGTTACGGAGACGACGGAATCAATGCTGGCGAGATTGGGGACAGTTATGGGGATAGTATTGATGAGGTGCAATCAAAGGGGGATGAGGAGATGATTTTATTAACAGAGGATTCGGTGGAGGGAGTTGCGGATTTAAATTTGGAACTAATGCACCATGAAATAGTGGAAGGAGATAATGGCCCTGTTAGTGTAATTGGGCCTGAGGATACAAGATGTGATGGGCTAGAGATGGGTTGTATAGGTCCAAATCAGGAGGGTGTGGGAGATAAGGTAAATGGGCTGATTGAGGAAGTGGCAACGGAATCTCCTTCAGTAAAAGGACAGGGTGCCACCGGCTGTGTAATTGAAAAACGAAGAAATATAGGGGAGTGTTACCCAGAAGATGTGTGGAAATTAGGAAAGCGAAAGCACAATGGATTACGGGAAGAACGAAGCAACGAAAGGAGAGGAGTGCAAGAATCCAACAAATTACCACAAGGGAGGGACTGCGGGCAGAAGGCGCATCTTTGTTTGATGGATGCATTGCGCACAGAAATAGAGTGATTCAGCGGGAGATGAATCTTCATGAGGTAAGGAAAATGATTAGTATGGGGAAAAGGTTGGGTATTCAGTTACAAGATAATGAGGAGGAGGTGCAATCTCGTTTGATGGAAGGTGAGGAGCTGGG